TATCGGACAACTGAAGTATTTAATCAGGGTATTAATCATAGCTTTAAGCCTAAATTTAAGTCCAAGGAGATTAACATTACAAGTGATACATTTATGTATTTTCCGAACTATAATATTAATTTTTTATTGATCCACTTACGTGACACTCTACATAGCATGCGTGATGATGAAACTCATCTGGATGAATTTTTACGACGAGTTAAGGAAGGTATTTCAACTCTTATTAGTGCTGCTCCTAGAATATCTTCAGCCGCTTCTGGGAATGTTCCAGCTGCACTTTATGATTCATTTAATAATGGTACACTACCAAGATTTATGAATGTAATTAAGTTTAAATATCCTATTACTTACTGGTATCCTGTATGGCGCGAACTTCTGCTCATGCATTATTCATTAAAAAATTTAACTAAAGATTTAAATTATGATATTTTACGATTTTATAATGAGACTTATCTTCTTGAATCACTATGGCAACATGCTTTTAATCAGGGATATGAACAACAAAAGCATGATGATATTTTAACAATCTTAAATGATCATAAAGTATTTCGTGGATTATGGACTAGAAAAGAACCAACTGCACTCCCAAATTCCTTATGGTTCGGAGTATTAGACCTTGCCCAAAATTTAAGTTATAAAACAGACCAACCTCTTAATTTAGCACTTTGCTATTATTTAGGTTTAGAATCTATGCAAAAGTCTCAAAGCTACTATATCCAATTTAAATCTTTAGAATTACTTACCTCACTTTCTTTTCGAGAGCCTGAATGGTTTGAGGATATAGTTCAAAAAGAAATTGAGAATTTTATTGAGCAATTGCCAATAGATTCCCAGCAAAAATTTACAACCTTAGTCAATGATGTAAATCAAAAACTTCGGCTAGATAGTGAATTTATAGAACAATTAAATGTAAATGGCCCAAGGAAATCAATTATCAAGAACAATTCATTAGATAAAATATCAAATCCTTTATTAGAAATAATTGCAGAACATTTTACCTGCCAAATCACTGGCCAGATATCTGGAGATTTTCTTATTTTATCGTGTTGTGGTAATTCAATTAGTTATGATGCAATTAATGAATGGAGAAAATCATCAATATATGAGGGTAAAATACTTGAATGTCCATTTTGCAGAGCGGAAATTAAACCGAACTCAATTTACAATCTTTCACAAAATGCAATGATGAAAGGTCTTTATAAAAGATTAGAACAAGAAGGATATTTAAATAATTTAATAGAAGAACAACAAATATCAACAAACAAAATATATTCAACAGAAGATAATTTACTTTTAAAAATGAGTAAAATGCGTATTTTTGGAATTCATATCTCCTCAAAATCATCTATTTCAGTTTTGAAAAAAGTTCGACCTAAAGTTTTACATCCAGCATTAAATAAAGCAACTAAAGCAGAACATCAAAAAGATTATACAACAGCTATAGTATGGTTAACTCAGCTTTTACAATTTTATCCAAAAAGCTATTCAATATTATGTAGAAGAGCATTTGCATCTTGGAAACTTGGACTATATCCACAAGCATTAAAAGATCTTGCAGAAGCAATTCAATTAAAATCAACAAAGACCTTAGCTTACGATTATAGATATCAAATATTTGAGGAAATGGGTAATTTTGAAGAAGCAGTTTTAGATTATTACAAATTATCGGAACTAACACCAAATATTGCAATTACTTTAAATAATCGTAGAAATACGTATCATAATATGAACAGATATGAAGAAGCACTTTCATATTACAATAAATCATTAGAAATAAGTCCAAATGATGCAATTACCTTGTATAGTCGTGGATTAACGTATCATAATATGTGTAAATATGAAGAAGCACTTGCAGATTACAGTAAATCATCGGAAATAAGACCAAATGATGCAGATACTTTATGTGACCGTGGATTAACTTATTATCATATGAGTAGATATGAAGAAGCACTTGCAGATTTCAATAAATCATTGGAAATAAGACCAAATGATGCAGTTACTTTAGGTTGCCGTGGAGCAACGTATAATAATATGAGTAAATTTGAAGAAGCACTTGCAGATTTCAATAAATCATTGGAAATCGAACCAAATTATGCAACTACGTTAAATAATCGTGGATTAACATATGATGATATGAGTAGATATGAAGAAGCACTTGCAGATTACAATAAATCATTGGAAATAAGACCAAATGATGCAAATACCTTGAATAGCCGCGGATTAACGTATCATAATATGTGTAAATATGAAGAAGCACTTGCAGATTACAATAAATCATTGGAAATAAGACCAAATCATGCAGTTACTTTATGTAGCCGTGGAGTAACGTATCATAATATGAATAAATATGAAGAAGCACTTGCAGATTACAATAAATCATTGGAAATAAGACCAAATGATGCAAATACCTTGCATTGCCGTGGCGTAACGTATAAAAATATGAATAAATATGAAGAAGCACTTGCAGATTACAATAAATCATTGGAAATAAGACCAAATGATGCAACTACGTTAAATAATCGTGGATTAACTTAT